GTCGTTAGTAAATGACATGCTTCAGTTGCGAAGCTACTTCTGTACGTGTGTAGCGGCTGGGTGCTTGACTGCCGAACCTTTGCTGGAAATGCATGTGTTGAAATCCATGAAATTGTGTTTTCATTCCACGCTTCGCCTTTGTCTCATTCTAGAAATTGTAATTGGCTCCTTCACGTTCCCCCTTCTGCAATTGATCTTACTGGCATATTGTGTTCGTAACATCTTGGCGTGGCTTGTTGTCGTTGCTTACTGCACCTCAGTCTTGAAATCTGTTGCTTAACGCATTTATCTTACCGCGATTGCAATAATACATTATTTCTGGAATTTTTTGTCTAGACCTTGGGTTACCCAATTTTGGCTGAATGCTATATGAACCCAGCTCCATAGTAATCAGAGTTGTGGAATCATGTCAGATACGACGACTGTGAGGTTGCAACGTTTCTATAATGATGATTTTGTTTATTGAGAGTTGAGTTGGACTTTTGGAATATAAACTCTGTAAGAATATGTACAATCACTGCATCAGACGGCAACTGTCGCAGTGTTTGTGCAATACATTTGGCAATTTTGGTGAATGATTGTTGCGATTCAACCAGTTTTTAAGATATTGTCTGCGTGAACATCTTCGCTAATCGGTCTGGAGAATTGGAGCTCGCTTCGACCAGGTCAATAGCACGGAAATCTCCATGAAATGTTGGATTATAATCATTTCGTTCGGCGTCGAGTTAATTTGCAACTACACTCTACTTAGGGCTGTCCTGCGCTACACTGATAGAAGGCATGCACACATTCTCCCGTCGCAACTGAAGTGGAAACATGAAATCTTGCCTACTGTTATGATGAATGCTTTGATACTAGTAGCAGGTAACCTGTATCGTGCAAATGTTTTCAGCAAAAAAATTTCAAATAAAAAATTACCAAGCTTGTAGCCGGAATTAGGTTGAGAATTATACATGCTTCTACAAACTGTTATAGTTGTAATGACGAGTAAGATATGTTCAAAGCAGACAAAGGTTTTCCCAAAGATATTGAACTTTCACAACTTTCAATATTCTCAATGTAAAGCATTTTATCCTATCATCCCGAAAACGATTTGGTAACAAGTGTGCTAACAGCAAACATTCTAAATAACATTATTCTCAAAAATATCCACGAGTCTTTTCTGATGTATTTCAATTGACCATTTGTGCACTAGGCAGATGCTTTTTGCATACACTTGTAATACATGTCATTTGATATTTCATAACATGGATCCAATGCTGATGGCATACAGTCTAATCGTATTCCAATGTAGACGTTGCAAGCTTGAGTAATTACAATGCCAGCTGATCGTGGCTGAAACATTTATTGAAGGGATGAGGTAAAGTCCACGAGGTGTTTGCTAGAAACAGGGCCTCACAATACACATGTTCCTCAAATGTACATTGAAATCGTGAACTAAGCATTATCTTCTCGCTATCTCCCTAACACGTTACAATCTTGCAAAAAACATTTGCCCACCCTGATGTGGAATTTACTGCCCAGGAAGAGCACTCTGGATTTTAGCGCCGGCTTTGGCAACGGCGCCCTTAGCGCCCTTGGATTGCTGGGCGATCTTCCCGAAAAAACCACCACCAGCGCTCTTTGCGGGCGCGGTCGCTTCATCAACCTTACCCTGCACATTCGAGGCCACATTTCCGGCGTTGCTCTTCACACCTGAAGCAATGTTGTTGCTGGTGGCCTTACCGAATGTCTTCTTTGCGCCCTTGGCAACATCGTCAGCCTTGGCTTGCGAGGTTGCAATCAAGTCGTTGGCCATGCCCTGCACAATATCGAAACAATGCACCGTGAATTCTACTTCCTAACGGTTCTGAATAATGGAAATGGCAGTTGTTCCAAGCACCAAGATAGAAATCCCTGCGTTCGCACGAAAAGGCTGTGAAGAAATGAGACCCACCTTGCCCTGACCCCAGATTCCGTCAATTCTGCGCTTCGTCTTCTGTACATTGGAGGCGAACTTGTCACGGGCACCAGACACTTGAGCACTGGTGGCATCCTGCAGCTCAGGAATGGCACCGCTTCCAGCTCTGCATGATGACATAATATAAATTATTATATGTTACAACTCAATCTTTTGTCGAGCAAGAGCTTGAACGTACTTCAAATTTCACCACTTTAACGAAAACGTTTACAGCAAAAGCAAGTCCCTAAACACACAATTTGTAGAATTTGGTACAATCACAGTCGTGATCGTGGTCACGGGCTTCTTACTTCTGGGAGAAGCGGTCTTCATCCTCCTTCGCTGTTCCGTTGCCAAAGCCCCTCTCAGGTCCAAACCGCTGGGGTGAGTCGTTCTTGATGAATGCATCGGCATTCTGAAGCAATTCATCAGCCTTGCGAGCCGTGCGCTCCGCTCCGTCCCCTCCAGGACCTGAGGCAGCGAAGGCGGACCCGGCGACAGTAATAGCCAAGCCAGTTGCGAGAACGGAACTCAAAACCTTCTTCGACACAGACTCGTTATCCTGAATCACATTGAGAAACCTCACGTCGTCAATCTCAGAGATTCAACTCACGTATAAGCAATATACTACACAAAAGAAACATTCGACCATCGTGATCCACGTCCACACCAACGACGCAATTCTGAACACATCCACACAGCAATCCACAAACCTGAGAGTAGCTGGCCGTCACAGCCACGACATGGCCATCACGGGCATTGACATTGCGAACGGGAGCAAACTGAGCCTGCGATACACCAAAAGCCGCCGCCGACGACAAGTTGCTGACACTCACTGGAGCGGCCACCATCGACCCGCAAGCGCTTACAGTTGTAGCTGCCATGATCTCGAAGTCCAAAAATTCGTAACTTATCTAACAATTCGACTATCAAGCGAAGCCTAAAAGATAAATATATATATATATATGTAGAAGTAGTTGAAGACTGAAACACTTGAAGCAAAAGACACACCTTTGAGCGAAAGAGATCACAGGTCGCTAAGTTTTATAGTAGGTAATAACGAATGGATTGTTGTAGAGAGATTGCACATCTGAGCCGTGATTTCGACAACCCAGTGTGGGAGTCCCACGTAGCTATGAGCTTTTGAATGTTGGAGCCGAGGCAGTGCCACTTGGCTCTCGGGTTGCATGCTCCTGGTACTGGCCCGACGCCCTTTCCCCCCAGTATACTCCCCCTCCCCATTCTTTTGCTTCTTCAGCGGTCTTCTTCTTCCGATTCCAATCCAGAAATTACTCTGTGCAGCTGCACATGAAAAGGGAAGGGAAGGGAGGGGGCAGGTGGGTATTCTTCTGCTCCTTCTGATTCACTTGTTCACTGCATGTGTCGACACGTAAAAAGTAGGAGCGATAAAGAGCAGCACTCGGTCACTGATAGAGTTACACTGACTGTGTGTATGTGTGTGTACAACTTTCGAGATATTCTTCGGCCTCCACTTGACCGCCAAATGGCGAGACCTGTGGCGATGAATCGGAGGTTGTTGCAAAAGCAAAATCCCATCTTGAGGCGCACATCCATCGCTGTGGGCACCATTCAGCTTTCAGCATTGAACATTAACACTTCCCTTCTCTTTAACACTGCTTTACATTACTACTGGGAGGGCTTATGAGAATTAAGAGAATTATATTGGGTGGGTGAAATTTTAATAGAATATTAAGAGAGGTCAGTTAGAGAGTGTCAACATAAAAATCAGGTCAGAATATGATTTTTTTTTTTTTTTTTTTTTTTTTTTTTTTGTGCTTTTACAAGAATAGGAAGAAGATGGAGCATGGTTTTTTTTTTTTTAAATATAAAATGAAGGCAAGAATGATGGGCTGAAAAGTCATTCGCTTTTCTAAAGATATTTTTAGATATGATTTTATTATTATAATAATGATACAAAACAAAATAATATAGAAGTAGAATAAAAATTGATGAAAGTATTAGTGGTATTTGTGCATTAGTGGCAATAGTAGCATGCTAATATATAAATTGGTTTTTGATATATACAATGACTCAAAAAATTGTTTCAATGTTGATATATTTTGGAAAGAATGGTGTATTACAAATGAATTGTAGTAAATAATGACACATGGTTTGTATATTAAATAAAGTACTCCTTTACATCTACCAAATGAGCCTAGGTTGAAAAGGATCTATTAGGTAATTGCAGAGCTATGACCAATCTAATTTGAAGTAATATTAAAACAAAAAAAATTTGAGTGTGGTGTCTAATATTTGGATTCTATCAATTATTCAACATTACAACATTTTATCATCATCAAATTTACTATGACAATATTATTACTAATCTAATAACATCATTAATACTTATTAGCAGCTATAAAAGCACCATTCTCAATCACAATTCTTGACACTGTCATATTCCAAATTACCACATTCTAGGACCTTTTAGAATCTTTTGCAAATTTTTAGAATCTTTTAGATACTTGCAAAATCTTCCACAATCTTTTAGAAAGTTCTATAAGCTTCTAGAAGCTTTTTTAGACTTCTAGAAACCTCTATAGAAAGTACTATAGACTTTTGTAATCTTCATTATAGTATAAATAGGAGTCTTTGGAACTACTTTTGCTATCAATTTTATTCTGTCTTTAATCTTGACATATTTCTTTGTGAGATTCTTGTGTTCTTGGTAATTCTTTGAACAACTATGAGACCTATTCTTACCTCTCTGAAGACAACATCACCTCTGTTCTTCTTCATTCTCAAAAATCTTATGGCCAAATTGCTTCTGAATTTGCGTGAAATAAAGCTACTATCTCTAGATTAGCAAAAAAAATATCACTTTTAATAGAAAGAACCTTAAATTAAGCAGACCAAAGAAGCTCATTGTAATAGATGAAAGGACAATTATTTGCCAAATTAACACTGCGAAGGCTAAAAATGCTATTGAGATTACTAAAAACCTTAGATATATTATTAGTAATCTTATGTCAACTCAAACCATTCAAAATGTTCTCAAAAAATGGAATATGAAAGTTGTGATAAAGAAGAAAAAGTCACTATTATCTACCCTCCATTAGAAATAACACTTGGATTTTACTCTGAAGTACAAAGAATGGACTTTGGAGGATTGGAAGAGGGTTATTTGATTAGATGAGACAAAAATCAATAGATTTAGGTCAAATGGCAAAAAAAGGATGTGAAAATAAAAAGGTTAGTCCTCGCTTGACAAAAAGATCTAAGAAATAATTGAACATGATGGTAGAAATATAATGGTATGGGATTGTATGGGATGGAATGAGGTTGGGAAGATGGCAAAGATTGAAGAAAGGATAGATGTCAAGCAATTTGTGGAAATTCTTGAAAAAAACTTACTCCCTAGGTTTAAAGAATCTAGCATTTCTGAAGAAGAGGTGATTTTTCAGGAAGAAAATGACCCCAAGCATAATTCAAAATTAGCATAGAAGTCGTTTGAACATCAAGGAATAAAAGTAATGGATTTGCCTACTCAGTCTCTTGATCTTAATTCCATTGTACATCTTTGAGAGCACCTTAAATGCCAGTTCAACACCTAGAAGATAAAACTAAAGAGAGTTTGGAAATTATAAGAAAAAATAACTATGGAATAAAATAATATTGAAGCAATTTTTTGCCAAAAGTTAATAGAAAGTATGTCTAAGAGATTGGAAGCAATTATCAAGGCCAAAAAAGGTCCTACATAATATTGATATGTAATTGGATACCACACTCAAAAAAAATTTCAATATTATTTCAAATTAGATTAGTCATAGCTCTACAATTATCTAATAGATTCTTTTCAACTTGGACTCATTTGGTAATTGTAAAAGAGTATTTTATTTGCTATTCAAACCATATGTCATAATTCACTACAATTCATTTATAATACACCATTCTTTCCAAAATATATCAACATTGAAATAGTTTTTTGAATTAATATATCTATTATATCTAGTATTGTCTTTTATATCAAATTCGATTTTTTCTCTAATTTTATTTTTTATTTTTTATCTTTAAAACTATTAAAAATTATGTTCTTTTTAATGAGAGATTCTTTTTTATCTAAAGTTTTATTTATAATTTTTGATTCCAAGTCATATTTCCTTTGCTCTAATTTTTAGAAAAGGTTGTTTTTCAATCCAAACTAATCTTTATTTAAGTATTGTTGCATAATTTGTATTACATTTAAATATTTGTGATAATTTCTTTTAAAAAATTTATATTAGTCTAATGTTTAATCCATTTTGTTCTTTTTAGCTTTGTCTTTATATATCTTACTACTTTATTTTGATGCTTTATTTTTTTTCTTGCATCTCCAATTTTGATAGACTACCTTGTAATGGATTTATTAAAATAATTAATTTGAGATTAATGTGATATTTTTATTGTCTTTTGTATTGAATCTTTATCTTGGATCATTTTATAATATATTAAAATAATTATTATATTTTTGATTTTGATTTTCTTATAATGTAAGTATATATGTGCATTTTGACAAATCTAACATATAACTAATTTATAACCATGTAACATAGGTGGACATTAAAGACAACTTTTACTCAAATCAACATAGCTACTTTAACTCACTTAAGTTGAACAAAATTGGAACAATATCTTATATACATGCAAAGATAATACAATGAAAATATAGAAGTTATTTTGAAGGATTTAGTTTTATGAAGTACTTACTGAAGTATACAAAGGACAACATGGAATGAAAAAAGAAAAAATATGGTTCTAATATATAGACAAAAATTATTTATTAATAAAAGACTTATTTGCAACTATGAAGTAATTTAATTAAGATACAATTGTGTCAATTCAAAAGTAGATCAAATCAATAGTTAGAAGGAATCCGACCTTTTAAATCTTGCTATACTTGGACAGGTTTTATATTTTTAGAAATTACTTTGACAAATTGTTTGAATTTTTTTATATGCTAAGATTTTGATTGTTTCTTTTATTAGATTATTAGATTAATAACTTTTAAATTAGGATTTGATGCTACTATACTTTGAAAGTAAATGAATTATTATTGATTATACTTATACAAGGTAATTTTATATGATTCAAATATAAATAAACTCAAGTTATTGATTCATAAAAACCAAAATTAAACTTAATTAATACACTAAAAAAATAATAAGAGAATTTTATCTCAAATATTTATTTAATCCGATTTGATAAATTTAAAAGAAAAAATATTATAAAAATAAAAACAAAAAAATGCATTTATAAAATTTAAAACTTTTTTAAAAATAGAATAAAATTATAAAATTTGGAAAATTATTATAATTCAATAAATAATCAATAAATACTAAAATTTAAACACACAAAATTATGTTAATTATTTTTAAAGGAGTTCATTTCAAAAAAAAAAAAAAAAACAACTTTCAAGCTTTTAATGCCATGTTCAAAGTTAAGGGGTTTTACAATTTTGATTAATTGTAGCATCAGAATATTAATAAAAATATATTTAAATTTTGTGATTTTAAACCAAATGATTTTTTTTCAATAATCATTATTCAAATAGATTGAATAATTAAAAATTATCTTTTAATTTTATTTGATTGCTCTTATAAAAGACTATGACAAATTAAATTAATAAGTGATTGTCAAATATTAGTACCTAATATTACCATTAGTTATCAAGATATATAGATCATCATAGATATATTTAAAATACACAATAATTAGCACATAATTTATTACATATATGTAATTTTACTAATTTATTCACTAATTTATGATATTTACAAATTTATTTACTAATTCATCTATTCAAATATTTATGGTATTTTAATATATATATATATATATATATATATATATGTATTTCTTTTTTTATTTAAGCAAGTGCATAATTGAAGAATATTGTAAACTAAGTATATAATTATTTTTAAGATTTTGTTTTACAAATAATGACACCTTTGATCAATAATAATGTCATTATTTATCTTTTGAGTGTTCATTCTACTTTTTTTATTAACACAATTGAAGTAAATAAACATGATAACTTAAATTTTATGAAATTTCGCACAGAATTAATTCAATTTTATCAGATTATTCTGTACAACTATGAATACATGTTAGATTAAAATACTGGAAAGAAATTTAGTTTAAAAATGAAATTTAAATTCAACTACTCCTATTGATAGGATCATCATCTATTATTAAAAGAAGTATTTATTTTTGTAATTTTTTATTTTAAGAAAAATACACTTTAGCTTCAAAATGCACTATAGACCTAGTGGTAAAAATCTTATTTTGGACAATAAGTAAATAAAAAACAAAATATTGTATATATCTGAAGGAGATAAAAATAAAATAAAAGGAAAGGAAAGGGTCATCCAAGCACAATACATTACACTAATAGTTGAATAAAATTATCAATTTCAACAAATTAACAAACCAATAATCTACCAATAAGAGATACTCACTTTTAATAGCATAAAAAGCAATACACAGAATTTTAGATGTTCATTGACTTCAGGTAGCAGTTTTCGTTTTTTAGGCTTGCATGATATTTGTTACAATGGCTCCAACATTGACTTGTTTCCAACATATCTTTTTTCCAACTTTAATTTACATTTAAAGATTTATAAGTGATAGATTTATACAAAAAAATATATAATTTGATATTAAAGTTCTAAATTAAGAATACAAGTACAAGATGACTTAAAATATAATATAGGCTCTTTTGTAGTAAAATATATTATGTGAAATCTATTTCTAGTTTCATTGTTATACCAATGTTGAAATCAAAATAAATCACTTAACTATATATATATATATATATATATATATACATATATATGTGTGTGTGTGTGTGTATTGTGATAATTCAAATAACTAATAAGTATGGAAATAAGTATGAAAATATAAATATTATGAAAGAACAATAAATATATGTGTTTTTCAATGAAATTTATATATACATATATAGTAATGAACAAAAAAATGGTATATTTCCATCCAAGTTCAAATTTTGAATTTATTTCCTTTATTAACTGCTTGTTTAAAATGATACGCATCTTAATAATAAAATATTTTAAAAAAGAACTTCCTAGAATAATTACGACTTCAGTAGTGCTTTAATTAATCTAAAATCAATTGACTTGAAGTAACGATTTTAAAAGCACTTTTTTAAATATATATATATATATATATATATCTTTTGAGTACCATAAAATATTTGAATACATGGGAGAGTCTAAAATATCCACACACACTTTGCAAGCATTTCACACACCCAAATTAGCAAAACGTTTCGAAGTCGAAATAATTGGGTTTGAAAACTTTTCCTTCTATAATTCGTACAATATTCTTATTAAAAATTTAAAAAGAAAATAAATCAAATGACGTAGCAATTGTAACCTTTACCAGTCATTTTGGCAGTGAAACCATGACATTGGATTCAATACACGGGGACAATACCATCCACGTGAATCGTAGAATTTGAAGGTCCACTTACGAATCCCAACAATGAAGATTTTGATCGTGTGATTGAAGGATTAGACTTCTTCTAAAGGAAATGTATCATTGAGGTATATTGTCTAAGCGGTCAAAGTGGGCTTCCGCGGTCTTGGAGACTGAAAGGTGCGAATGAACGAACAGAGTTCCCGCCAAAACGGCGAAGGACGGGGCCAATCATATCACTCCACTTCAGAAATGTATTGACTTGGAACAACAGTGGGAACATTGGCGGCAGCCACCGGCTGTAGCCGGTGGGCCATGGTACTGTCAGCAAGCTTTTAGGGTTTGGAGCTTTGTGGTCGGTCTTGGGTCGTCGGTCCATGAAGCAAAACCGTGGAGCTCTAGCCCTGTTGGGGACCTGATTGATTGCCTTCATCGACGCCAATTCAAGGACGTTTCCATGCCCTTTCGGGTTTTGCCTGGGAACCGTGGAGACAAAGCGTTTTTCTTTTTTTTTTTTTTTTTTTTTAACGCATGCCTCGAGGCTCTGGTGCGAAAATTGGGTTGAAAACGAGAGTGCTTTGGCTGAATTCGGGTTGAAACGAGGGCCATCTGCAGAATTTTGGACTTGGTTGAGGTAGGAGCGAGAGTTTTGGGTTACTGGTTTGTTGCATGAATGAAAAGGGAGTGGAATGGGGTGGCGTTCGATCAAGCTGCGTAGTGAATTAGGATGCGAGATTGTCAGTGTCGGGGTTTTAGGTGAATTCTTGAGGGAGTTTCTGTTTTGTTTTTTCTTTTGTGGATTTGAAGGGATTTTTGATGGATTGGTTTGGGTTCGAATTGCGGATGAAGTTGTGGGATTTAGTGGGTTCGAGGAGGGGGATAGTGTGTTGAGGAAGTCGAAAAAGGGCTGGACCCTTCCACGAAGTTTGTTCAAGTGCGTATTTTTGTACGTGGTGCTGCGGTTGTGGAATCGACGACTCGAAGCTCATGTTTTAGGTTTCTTGAGTTAGGTAATAACGCCATTGGATTAACTTGCAGGGGGTCTTCCATCGTGTTCTTTGAATCCACTAATCTAGGGTTTTGCTCATGCTTGAATTGCATTCATTTTGGTTGGTTTTAAAACAATCACGTGCAAATTTTAAAGAATCAACCAACCGGACAAATATTGGATGCTGTAGATTACATTGCTTTTGATAGTATCGGTTACTTTCAGGGTTTCTTATGGTCTTTTATGTGAGGTGTGGTGCTAGCTTTCTTGGATGCGATGTTAGGTTTTTCGACCTCTTTATTCAATTTCGTGCGTGCACAAACAATCACTTGTGTAATCTCAGTCTCTAGCCCGGTTTGAATTCAGTTTTTCATTCATTGCTGAGTTATTTCTTTCGTATCAGGCACTGATAAGGGCATGGTGGTGTTTGCAGATGTTGTTAACTTCTATTGGGACTTCCATGGAGATAGATTATTGGTGCAGGGCCAGGAAGTGTTGGTGTTAAAGAATGATAACGAAAAGAGAGTACAATTGTATCAAAGACTGGCTTCTACATGAACTAGGTTTCTGGAATGGGAAGCGAAAGCAGGATGTGTGTCTGAATGATAGTGTTAGAAATCAAATCAGTACCAGCGCATGAATGGTTGTGTTGTGGCTATCAGGAAACGGCATATATTTTTGTAGCTTCTTGTGATATATTCATGTATTCAAAGCGTGTTGTACATAATATTAGTGGTTAGTAAATGTGATCATCGTCACATTACATAGCGTGATGCTCACGGTTGCAGAGATCTGGGGGCAAGGACACAGAATTTTAGAGGATCAGATACAGACGTGGTGGATTTGAATTCAAGAAGAAGACAATTTCGAAGCCATGAAGTTGTATGGAGTTGGGGCTGCTGTTGTTGCCCTAGGTTTAGAGGGCTCTGCTCACGATTGGGCTATCTTGGTGGCTGGAGTGTTTGTTCTCTTCTCTCTGTCACTGTCAACATTTCTCCTCTTTGAACACCTCTCGACCTATAATGATCCCGAGGTTTGATGCCGTTCTCATTAATTTTTGTTTTACTTTGGTATCACTGATTGAAAACTTTTAGCGTATCCAGCAAGCTTGTCTTGTTGGAAGCTCAGAATTTCAAAATCTGCTTTCACTGCATTGATTTTCTCAGTTCCTACATACGAGTTTCTAGTGAGGTAGTTTCTGCTTACACTAGTACCTTAATTTACCACTTGCTACCGTTCTGAAAAAGTGCTATGGTTCACGCAGGAGCAAAAATGGATAATTGGCATCATCTTCATGGTCCCAGTCTACGGGGTAACTTCAGTAAGTGTATCATGTCCTTTTTGGTTGCGACTTAGGATGCGTAATTATAATTTCTTTTTGCTTCGTTTGAGATTGTGACGTTTGGATTTTCTGTCGAGGAATTGTCGTAATGAATTATGGCTAATTCAGACTCTTCTCTGGTGGACAGTTCATTTCATTATGTAAACCAGATCTTTCGTTGCGGTTCAGCATTGTGGGCAATTGTTACGAGGCCTATGCGCTTTACTCGTTTGGATGCTACTTGATAGCATGCTTAGGTATGTTGAGTTATATTCATTGTTTTCTTGTAGTGCCATTTGTTTGTTTCAGTTTTTTTAAAACTTATATGTTAATTATGGAGTTTTTAAATGGCACAAGAGTGTGCAAATTCTGTAGAAAATTCTTGTGATGCTAGACAGAATTCTTGTACTTGTGCTAAGGTGGTTGTATGAAGCACTTCACCTTGTAACGTACTGGTGAGATATGTTAATGTGCCCGCGTGGTGTGTTTCTTATCTCCACGCATGAATTCTTGAAACCGAATTTTAGTGATTGTTTCTGTCTCAGGTGGGGAGGACACAGTGGTGCGGAAATTAGACAGGCAAGGGCTGATGGGACCGCGCACACCGTTATTGGAGCACAGTGCAGGAATTAGAGCTTTGGTGCAGCATCCCGCACCCTTGAAGTGGTGCATGGACCCCTGGGAATTGGGACGTCCTTTTTATAACGCGGCGAAGTTTGGCATAGTGCAGTATGTAAGTTGATTGTCATATGTATTTTTGTTTTTTTTATATTGTTCTGTTTTATGAGTTTCTGTTAGGATTACTCCTTTGAGCAGGCGCAAAGATCTATATGCACAGTTGTGAAGACTTATGACAAGTTCGTTATTCCATTGCAGGGTCGTTGTTGTGATCTTTGCAATGACCCTTGTAATGGAATACTGAACCAAAGCTCGAACAAGAGTGTGTCTTTCTGTATCAGCATTAGTTATTAGAGATTGCCACCTGCGGGTTCTCTTTTTGAAAGTTTTCTCTGTTTTTGTTGTTCTTAGCCAAGTTGTCAATTATGTGCAGATGATATTGAAAACAGCGTGTGCCTTGATAGCACTGATGTTGGATTTTGTCAACCGGTATGGTGATGGGGAATTCACGTGGCACAATGGGTAAGTAATATCGTTTGATATTTACTTTTTTAAAATGGCGCTGCTAGGATTAGCGTTTTCTCACTTTTTGCACGTGCTGTTGAACGCTGTCCTTCGAACTTTTGGCTACTAGCAGCGAGAAGAAGTACTCAATCATGTTCAGGGTTGATTTCGTAACAGTTGAGATATTACCGTGGGTCTGCTTGCAGGTACCCTTACATAACGGTGGTTCTTAACTTCAGTCAAACTTGGGCACTTTATTGTTTGGTACAATTCTACTATGTCACTCATGAGGAGCTGCGGGATATCAAGCCATTGTCCAAATTTGTGTGTTTCAAAGCTATTGTTTTTGCTACTTGGTGGCAAGGGGTCTTGCTGGCGTGCATTTTTTCATTTCCTTTCGTCACGTCGTCGGGGAATATTCAGACCAGCCTTCAGAACTTTTTGATTTGTATTGAGGTATGTTTCTCTATGTTTTATTTTGTGCAGTAAAGTATGTGGCTCCATGTACTTAGTGAGAACTATGCTTGATACTCAATTAATCATTGCGTTTTACTGTTGTGGTTCTACGTCTTGATGTCTGCACAGATGGCGGTTGCAGCTATAGCTCATTTATACGTATTTCCTGCTACACCATATCATGAATTAGAAGGTGGGAAGGATCGTAGTGTAAAAGTACTTGCTGACTACGCAGCATTTGATTCACCTCTTGATCCGGAAGAGGTCCGAGAGAGTGAACGACCATCTATGGTAAAGTTCTTTGGTGTAGATTTAGAGAAGGGAGCCACCAGCGTAAAAGAAAGTTTCCATGACGTACTTGTAGTCGGTGGAAACCATGTAAGTTTATCCTTACATTCGAATGGATGATTCACCTTCTTCTATCTGCTTGTTGCAAGTATTCTTTCTATCGCTGCATTGTTTATGTTCGGTTCTTGGTTGTCGTTTGGTAAGCTGGAAAACATCGTATATTATCCAGTCACCGGCTCGTCATCCGACCTAATGATCAGCCCTGCCTGTATCGCTTTCAGGTTGTGCACGATATGAAGGTAACTATGTCTCAAGCAGTGGAACCTGTGGAAAAGGGGTTTACGCGGATAAATGAGACTATCCAATTTTGGGGTGGAAAGCAAAAGGAGAAAAAGAAGAAAGTGAGCAAGGATGATTCCTGGGTAGCTTCTCAGAAAACTACGCATTCTGACGATGCGAGGGGTTATGATGACCCCCTGTTAACAGGAAGCGTCAGTGACAGTGGGTTCTGGCGAGCTAAGAGGTCCAGCTATGGTAGTGCTGATAGTAGTGGTGGAGAAAATAGTGACTCTGGATTTGGAGGTTTTAAAACAAGTGGCAAGCGCTGGACTATAAAGAGGTGACACCTTTCACACGTGATTGTAATTAGTTTTACCTTAAACTTGCTGTTATTGCTGATAAGAGTACTAGTGCTCGAATTTGAGCAAGAGATTGGCCTCATAGCAATTATCTTGTGAGTAAAATTGAGGTTGAGGGGCTCTAATCCGCCCCCCTTGTGTACACTATCAATAATGTTTGGGTGTGGCGTCCACCTTGATATTCAGAAGCGATACCTGAATTTGATTTTAGAGCCTTCAAACACCATCACTGACGCATTGAATATTTACCCACTTTTTTACTCAAGTTTTTGTGGATATCCGTCTTGTTCATGGTCATGAGAAATAGCAATGTATGGTGGAAATTCATACTTCAATTTTCTTTTCTTTTCTTTTCTTTTCATTTTTGTTGTTTCCTTGTTTGTCTTCTATAATAATAATTGATGGTTATCATTGCAATAGGCAGTTCTGTTGCTGGATTCATGGTCTTTGGAGATTCTTTTCCATTTGTCCTTATTGGGTTTTCCAACATTTGATTGTATTAGTGATATTCACAAGTAAATTGTGTTTTTCGCCACTATGACATGATGACAAACTACTTAGTTCATGATCATGACTCATTCAATCAAATTTAAGATTGAAAAAAGGATAAAAACACAAAATCATGGTGGATTCTCAAATTTTGCACTTGTCAATAACCTGCCAAAAAACTTGATTATTAGTCATTGCATTAAGATATGTAGGTGCTAATTAATTGATATTCATTGAACTAATTACTTGAAATCTGAGAATTTTGTATGACAATTACAAGTATATCTAGTTGAATTCAGGTTGTGTTTTTATCTAGAAGTCCTTAATTGTCAAGAACACAACTATCAATTATCGGTATAATTGATTTCATAATTATTGTTTGGTTAAATATCATTTGTAGAAACTTTATAGCATTTTAGTCCAGTTAACAGGTATATCAAGTTTCTCCAGCTATATATTTATAAAAATCCCTTGTATATTGGAAGTTATATCACTAATTATCATTGAATAGGTGCATTAAATTACATTTTTCATGATTGTTAGAGCATCTTCCGAATTATAAAAAATTAATTTCAAAAACACATGTTAAAACATTATTACTAGAATGGTCATCATAACTTGAAAACTTTAAAGGGAAATGGTTTGTTTGTGCTATAATCTCAAATATTTAAAGATTGATACAGCAATTCTATTTGGGTAACATACATATATTGTTAAGAACGTTCCAAATTTTTAAAAACTATTATTGATATCAGAAGTCAATAATTTATTTTTTCTTGGGAGCAGTTTTTGTGCAAACTAATGTTTCAATAGCATGTGATATTTTAAACTTCTCATAAGATATCCTAGTTCTAGATTGTTTTCTTCCTTTTTTTCTATTAGGTAGCAAATATATATATATATATATATATATATATATATATATTTTAATAAAATTATAAATATCATTACCTCAAGATCGGTGAGTAATTTAGTCAATCAGAGAATTGATTGACGTTAATTATCACATTTCTAACAGTTAGAATTGTGGCAATCAGAAAAATAATAAGGACAAGTACCTTTTTAGTTTTATTTCGTTAATTATTATAAAAAATATACGTGCGTGTGGGTGTACTATATTCATCAATATGTTCATATTCAGTGAAGGAAATGCTTGTCGTAAACACAAGAAATTTTTGAAGTAGTAAGTCCCTATTCTGACCTTCAAACATTTCAATTTCGTGTTAGATCACCACAGCAATTTCGTGTTAGATCACCATGACTCTTTAAACCGAAAATAAGACCAGGTTAGTAACACTACACTAATTACAGTAATAATACAATGACACATGCAATGTTAGCCCCAGGACTTCAACTGACTGAAGAAACCCAAAATCCGGATATCATTGATAAAATTCAGAGTACGATGAGATCCTGTTCTCATCGGGACCGGGTGTCGACCTGTAGCACTATTTCAAAACTATTCATAATACCAAAACCCATCGAACACCGCGAAACTTCTATTCCTGCGCTCAGTTGCTCAAGGGAGGCAGTATACGAGGCTTTCCTATTCATGAACATTGTGGTACAGAAATTGCATCCTTCTCCAACTATATAGACTTCACTGCGTCTGATCAGGATGGGCGGTAGAGATCAATGCCATGAAATTAGCCAGCAGCTTGTGACAAATTAGCGTCAGGACGAAGGATCTTCTATCTCAGATATCAGCTTACTTCTTCTTTTTGGCATCTCCGGCGGCCTTTGTCTGCAGTCAAGCCAAATGAAGGTTGTAAGACACTTCATCACATACACACTCGTCTGCATCAATCGAAGCTACACAATTTACATGACAATGTAAATTTCACTTTCTGGATGCCACATTCCAAGACAATGCCACATATCAACATACCTTCTTCACACCCCTGATCTTCTTCGAACGGTTCTTGCGCTCCTTGATCTGCTTCCTCGACTTCTCGACCTTGGTAGCCAGACCATTCTGCAAATAACCATTAAACTATCCTCAATACTAAAGATCTTGACAAATGAACACACCAAACCAATCAGCAAATTATTTCAACAAAAAAATAACATGCCTTGACCTTTCAAGAACCTCAGAGCCGGATGAACCAATCAGGTCTCGATGAATCTCACCCTAATGAGCCTGTACTTGGGCTCGTATTTCTTAGCAGAGTCAATGGAGTCGTAGATGAGACCAAATCCAGTGGACTTGCCACCTCCGAAATGCGTTCTGAACCCGAACACAAAGATGGTCTGGGGATCTCTAACCTCGTACAGCTTTGCCAGCTTATCCTTCAGCTCAGCCTGTTTGATCAACACACGACTCTCAGCTCTCTTTTTTTGGGGCAACCCGAAACTCGACCGCACAACAACTCTACCGAAACAACGCAACACACAGTGAACCAGGTTGCAATGAAACACACACCTTGGAGACATTGGCACGACCTGGGTGCAGAACGTCAATAATCTGCCCAAACAGAAACAAAACTCATTCATCAGAATCGGGTAAAATTCAAGCGTTTCCTAAACCCCAAACCCTGAACATAGCTGAAGATAACCAGACGAAAATGAGAGAGGGAGCACTTACGAATTGCTTGCGAGCCAGAAGGCGATTGGTCATGAACTTTCTAGTACGAACGGTGCACGCTTTCTCCGCCATGGTGACGGTGAGGTTGCCGCGAAGGCCTGGCTCGGAATTGCGGGAGACGGTACTAGACACGCGATGCGGGGGGGGGGGGGGCAGAGCGAAGTAATGTAAACAAGAGAGGGTGCTGTGCGAGAGCCTCGGCTGCTCTTACCCTGGCCGCTCACCCGAAACCCTAATCCTGTGCTCCCTCCTGCTTCGCTCTTGTCCCCATTGTGTTCCTCTCACTCACTCAAGTTCTTTCCGGGTCTTTTCCAAGCCCATCCATGGGAACCGCGAGCCCGTCATGTCATTTATGGAGTTCCCATACATGCCTCTGCATACATGCCATACATGTTAAGGTGTGTGGCCATTAATTTTAACTTTATTTGTTAAATATATTAAAGAAAATTATCTAATTAAAAAAATAGAGTATAAAACTTACGTAAATGAATAAAATTTTAATTAATTTCTATTAGTTGCTATTCATGCAAATGAAGTACTTCCATTAATTTGTATTGCACGTCTAATATATTTTTTGAAATAACATTTATTTATTTAATAACGTCAATTTTTTTAAAAGTCATTTGTTTTAGAGGGTTGATTTTGATTTTAATTTTAATTTCACTTCTAGTATCACACCGGTAGATGTTAATAAGAGATGTTTTGCTCTTGACCCTAAAAAAAGGAGGAGATTTTGTCAATTTCCTAGATAATTTCTTTGTTGATTGATTAGCAAGCATTGGATATTGCAATAGTTCATTTTGTAAGATCGTACATAAATGGCAGGCGGGTAATTTGAATATAGTTCGAAGTCAGCAGCCCCTCCAGCATAGGTCGCGGAATCGCACGACTTTCGAACAATGCTGCTAAGGCGATGCTTCGAACTAGACTGGACTGCTTCTCTGGCGCCGAAGCCCGTGCGGATGCAGCAGCGTCGATGGAGATCGGCGAAGCGAAACCGATCCGGTCTTCTGAAGTAGGTTCTGCCGCGACACCGCATTGCCTTTACGAAGTTTTCAGCACTCCTTACACGGACGAGGAGGTGGCTCGAGGTGAGCGCATCTCCTTGTTCAACCAACAGTTTCCAGTTGTTTTCAAGCCTTTTGTTGCCTTTGTTTCTATGGTTGCACAGGGGTTTAGGTCAAGTTAAGTCTGTTGTTGAGAGATTGCTTCCTTTGAGGTAATCGCCACCAGCGGTAGCATGACTATTCCTCTTCCGATGAAGTAAGAGCAGAAGCGGCGGTGTTGTGACGGGAGGTTCGTACTGCTAACCGCAGGTGTCAGGGCAAAGCAGAGCATCTGCAAGGGAGTTGTCGTGGAGGTAGCACACTGCATTCGGATTCCCAAGCAAGAGTACGAGGACCATCTGAGGTTACTTTGTGCACCTCTGCCTTCTCTTGCTTCATTGATTCTGGGTGTTATAAAATTTGAATGATGCTAAATCTTTGTGCTATGTGTTGTAGGTACAGTGTGCTTGAGCATTATCTCTACGTTGGTAGAAATGGCTGTATGCTCATGGCGCTAGGGGTAGGGTCGCTCTTCAACCACAGCAAGCAGCCCAACCTCTATTTCGCTATTGATCACGACCATCTTGTTATTAGGTATGAAGCAGCACGGAACATTGCAGCGCATGAGGAATTAACTATTTGTTATGGCAGCGAGAGCAAACTTTGGTTTGAAGACAGAAGCGTGAACACATTACAGAATAGTAGTAGCATGGTGCATGAATACATGGATGACGAAACTTCATTTCTTGCTGGTCTGCAGCTAGATAACGGGAACGAGTGAGGGATTGGAGGTGTGTATTTGATGATGTGTAATTATGGAAACTCAATTAAAGAAAGAACACAGTTCACCGAATCACATACTTTTTCTCAGATTAAGCGAGTACTATTTTTCTGCACCGTATTTCTCTCTCTACTCGTTGAAGCTCGTCTGTTTAGAAGTTCGTAGTTTTTGTGTCACGATTTCACGGGCTGTTGGCTTGCCGCGCCGGATCACTTGGCTGCTATTCATCGTCGAATTGCCCATCCTGTTACTCGGAGGTAGCTGCCTAAGTCGCCCTTGCTGTCCACGCTCCTCTCGCTTTCCTGCTGTCATCGGGTACGAAGAAGGATGTTCAAAAACAAGATTCAGGGTACAGGGTCAGACGACAGGTATTGTTACAGCAATACACAGAATGTTGAGTAGGAGGTTCGTGTAAGGTTTGTAAACGATGAGTCACTTCATTTTGGGACGAACTTCCTTGGAGGCGATTGTGTGTTTTTCCAAAGCGTCAGGGTTGATTACTATTTTTAGACAAGATCTGCATGATCTTGTGATGATACGTTAAGTCATTTAGACGAAGGCTCGTTGCAGCGGATACTTAAAGCAGGGCGTTTTCTAATATATCTACTTGCACGTCATTAGAAAGATGGGCTTGGGTCAGTTGAACATGGAAGATTTGGAAAATCTCCTCACCGGTAGTTCATGTTCTGCTAGATAATACTACATGTGGTTTGTATCATCCAGGCATGAACAAGCAGTAGATTGTTCTTTCTCTTGAGGAGCGAATTTGGAAGAAATTGCTTATCTGGCACCTTTGATGCGTCGTCAAAACGTCACCGTGGCCAGGTTTCTGTATCAACATGTTTTGCTCAGTGGCTATTTGTATAGGTGACAGGTGAAACAATTCATGTTTCCGCTCAGGGCTCTTTCCTTCCTGCTGTTGGCAGAGGCACTTTTGATTAATCAGTTCTTGAACAGCTTTAACCATCCTAGCACTGAATGAAAAACACTTCCTCCATAATCACCTTCGTGCAATGGAAGGTGTTGTAAAATGCCATCTTGTTTTGTGCATATGCCAGATGTGCCTGCTGCGAATTCAGTGATAGGGGCTTTTTGCATGTACTGAGACGTCCGACATGTTTTGCTCCCAACTCCCAAAGTCCCATGCAAGCACGTTGACTCAGGTACTTCTTCCGCCGCATTTCACGTCGATGATAAGCAACTGATTTGAGGCAGGCGCTTCTAGAGGAGATAGTTTGTGAATCAACAAATAAATAATGTCTTTACTCTTAGGTGAATCGTCTGTTTGTCTAGCTTTAACCTAATATTATGAACTGGTACCGGTCTGCTTCTCATGTTAATTCACTTCATGAAATCTGTTCTTCTTATTTACAAGTTTTACTTTTTATTTATTTTTATTTTTTATTCTCTTTTTTAGACATGAGTTTGAAGAATTTCATTTTGTTTGTTCTAATTTTTGAGCTTCTGTTCACTAAACATAGCCAAGTACAATGTTATGAAGAAATGAATTCCACAATTGAAAATTGAAAATTTTCATAGTCTAAGAACTTCAAAAACTACTTTCCACAACTTCAAACATAAATTATTAAAAATAAATCTAAAGAGAAATATGACTCAATGTTAACCACCAATTAAATAACTTGTCTTAATCTATGTGTAAAGAAAGCACACATTTATATTGTGATAGTAATCATAAGAAAAAAACAAGTTATATTATTTAATATAGTTGTAAGAGATGTTTGATGATTTAAGAATGAAATTGAAAAGAAATCTTCTATCTCAAAAAATATATTAAAGTCTTAACAAAAAAAAACTTATTAGAGAGTTTAAAAAAATTAAATACGAGTTTAGAGATTTTTAAAAGAATTTAAATATAACAATATAGAAAAATTAATAAAAGATCAAGTAATTGTTTAATTTTGGATATAATATTAAGAACTTACCATGGTGGGTGGTTTTTTTTTTTTTTTTTTTTTTTTTTAATTTTTTTTTAAAAAATAGGATCATAATTCATCATTAATAAATGTTAGTAACCTTGTTACATCTAAATTAATAGATCTTGTAATATAAATAAGCCTTACTAGTTGAATTTATTATGAAGTATTTTAAAATAGTTGGATCTTGTACAGATCTTAATATTGGCTATTTAAAACCAATTTGTACATTAGACACTAAAGTCTAAATTGAACAAAAATATTTATGTAATATGAAGAGTTATATTAAATCCATTTTTATTTCTATTTTTACTTTTTAAATTTTAGTTGCTTATGTTAATTATTTTTTATTAAGAATAATGAATATAGTCCAAAGCTTAAGTACCTAAAGATAGAAGCAATCTTAAAACAAGTTTTATGTGCAAAATCATTATGAATAAAGTATATAAAAGATAATGAATCACTTTTATATTCTATTAATTTTATAAAACTAATAATGTTCATGTTGTATTAAGTCACATTTTTTATGTGTAAATTTTTATTACTAATATATATATATATATATATATATATATATATATATATGTATTGTCAAAAATATTGTTTACTTGAAAAATATTTATATCTTTATATAATTATGTATTTACTAATATGATAATTGATTTGTAGCTATTTAATTGTAAAATTTTGTGATTCAAAACTTATAGTGTCTATTATTTATTAATGCCTTTGTAAAAATATTAGAAAGCATATCTTTTGTAGCTCAATATTTCATATATATTTTATCATCTTTAATCTTTGTTCATATAAAATGATATTGAACATTAATTTGTTTGGTTTTTGAATGGTTATTTGGATTCTTAATTAATACAAGATATACTTAATTGTCATTAATAATTGAAATATCTTCAATTGCATAAGTTCAATGTTTTTCAAGAATTATCTTCTTTAAATTGTTTTGATTATATGATGACTTGTTGCAATATACATGTCTATGGTTTATCTTAAAATGATTAATTGTCTCTTATAATTCCATGAGATTGCTCCTATTTCAATAAAGAGTATAAATTATGTTGTAGATCTATCATTTGCATGTTGAGCTTAATTTGATAGATCTATTTTTATATTTAGAAAAAACTATTTCTACATTTTGTGGAATGCTTTACATTTCACCTTCAATTTGTACAAATATTTCATTTCTCAGTTTTATCAACTTCATATTTGCATCCAAAGGTATTTGAATTTATTTTTATTTTTTTATGTTGAATTGTTTTAGTACATCTTTGATGCACTTGCTTTAATTCATTGTGATGGTGCAATTATCAAAATTTTCTACAAATTCAATACAAAACCATTCATTTCATAATCTTTCAAATCACTTATATATATATATATATATATATAAATATTTTTTTTAATATGATTTTTTTTAATTAATTTTTTTTATAATTTTGACAAAGATAATATAATCATCACTATAGAGATTTATAATTAGTGAGAATTTTTTAGATTGCATTACATATAAAAAATGATCAATTTCATTTTTTACAAATATTTCATTAATAAAGAATGTTTCTATGTTATGAATATATATATATATATATATATTTAATTTAATACTTATTTATATAATATAAGTAAATGGAGTAAATAAAAGTACATAAATTTGATAATATCTCATAGAAAAACTTTGTTATAGGTTAACAAGTTTGGCAACAAGTTGGCTACATGTTATACATGCTTGCCACTTGTGATATAAACTAGATATGTAGTGTATATATATATAAATCTTTTTTTATAAATTAGATATGTATCTTACATATAGATAATATACAAATTTTTATCATTAACAAATTGATAAGAATACACTTACAACTATTAAAGCTTTGTCTTTTTTTCATTAGGAATAGATTATCTCTTTCTTTTGATAAGATAAGTATATTAAAAGTTATAAATTATTTATTTTTAAATTAATATTATTTTAATAATTTTCTTTATATTTGAGTCAAAATCCAATCTTGGATAATTTGGACGTTTTTTTGGTAGAATTTTAATTCATATATAAAAAATATATTACAATTTGTATTGTAATCAATAAGATTTGCACATTACAACAAAGCAATCAATTAATAATATTATATGCTTCATAATTTTAAAAACTTGCAATTAATATCATATAAAATAATTTTGCATTCATTAACCATTTTTTTAACGAATTATAATATAAAATTAAGAAATTAATGCTAAATTTAATTGATTTTGAGATATTAAGTCAAGCAATCAAATTTGTTGTAAAGCAGAACAATTGGCTTTTTAAATTTCAATTTAAGAGTTGCATAAGTAGGTTTCAATGTTTTTATAATTTAATAGCAATACCTATATATTCTTAGGACATACGTTTAGAAATAAAAGACATGTAAATTGAGGCAAGTCATTTTAAACTTTATATTAAGCAAAAAATAATTTTTCGTTATCATTCTGAAGAATTGTACTTATATTGTAGAGAATCCAAGTACATTATTCAACATTATCCAAAAATGCAATGCAACAAAAAAACAAGGATTATGATTGTCAAAAAAAAAATGTATTGAAAAATAAGTTTATCTAATTGGTATAAGAACCATGTGATTGGAATCTTGTGATTATAATTTTATATAATTAGATTTCTTTCTAATTTCTAAAAATATTAATTATATTAAATATAATAATATAAAAAATTAAATGGTTATTATAGTAAAATTATAATTGAATTATAATATTCATTTTTTATTATTTTATAAAAAAGATCTCATAAATAACATTTCTAAAAGATATATCAATATATTATTATAATTTAATATAATTAGATTTTTTTTAATCCAACTATTTTAGATTTATTGAAGCTAGAAAAATATAATTTGTAGATATATTGGATTTTTTACAGTCTTAACTTTAATAAGAGCTTAACTAAGAATTTTATTAATCAAATAAAAGGTCATAAGACTTGTGCAACCAAATGCTTATTTATAGGGCTAAGAACTTTCATGTATGCATATTGTAAAAAAGATAATCTTTTGTTAATCATGCAACATCTATTTGTAATATTGAAAAGATTTCAAATGATATTCTAAGCTGCTATTAAGATTATCAAGACATTTTTGAAAAGAAAAAAAAATTGATAATTTTTAAAATTATTGTCCTTATGATTACTTAATTTTTCTTTTTGAAAGAATTCAATTACTATTTGGACCAATATACAATTGATCCAAAATGAATTAATTGAGTTTAAGGTATATATTAATGAGAATTTGGTTAAAATTTCTATAAGTCATTCAAAATCTCTTATAAGATCTTTTATCTTGTTTGTGAAGAAAAAAGATGGATTATTATAAATGTGTGTTGATTTTTTAAGGTTCAATAAAATTACTATAAAAAATAGATATCTTCTATCCTTGATATTCAAATTTCTTGATTAATTGAATTATGCCAAGATCTATATAAAAATAAATCTATAAAAAGTATAAATGAAGGTAGATTTCATCATTTAATTCAAATTATAAAATAGTATCAATTAAAATTTTCTTTTTATTGGTATATAAAAATAAATAAGAAAAAAATAAAACATAAATCAAATAAGTGAAATAAATAAAATCAAGTAATTACATACGTCAAAACTTGGTCATAGTTTGTTCACTAAATTTTTATGTATTTTTAATGGTGTAAGAAATATATAAATCCAAATTACTATGACTAAATTATAAAGGTTTAAAGATAATAAAAAAATAAAAAAATATATAAAAAAAATTATCTCAAAAATAACTAGGTTAAAGATTAAAGGTCTGAGCCTCACCAAGGCTCATATGTAGTATATTTGGATTCCTAAGAGATGCTAAGAGGCCTTGATCTTCCTATTTTCTATTAGTAAAACTCATCTTTTTTCATTTTTGACTTCACTATGGTATTTAAAAATATCCAATTAGCCTAAGAACCTTGTATGGCCTTCATAATAGCTTATAAGGTGGTAAAAACTTAATTATCAAAGTCTTAAAATTTTCTCTAAAAATTCCTAAAAAATCTAAATAAATATTAAATGTTCTTATAATATTTTCATAATTTTAATATCAAATTAAAGATATATATCTTTAATTTTTTAATTTTTTATTGTAATAAAATAAAATTTAATGGACTAAAAATTCTATTTTTAATGTAAATAATTAAAAAAATATGAGATTTTATTTTATGCTTTTTCTAACTACTAAATAATATTTTTTTGATTTTTAATAATTATTAAATATAAATGAAAGGCCAATATATATATTGGTCTTAATAACTAATTTTTAATACTTAATAATAAATAAAAATACTAAATCAACTCAAATAATTATTTCTTAGACTTACTAAGACTTCATTTTTATAATTTTTTTATAATAAGATTCTTATATTCTATAAATATTATTAAATTTTAATAAATACTTAAT